GGCTTGGGACAGTAGAGGGGTGCATTGCTCGGGGGTGGGACCTCATTCCTTTTCTGTCTCTTAGCTGCTGGTAGATGACTTGCTGGTGTACAATGGCATTCTTGCCATGGTGAGCCACCTGGTTGGGGGAATCCTGCCCACATGTGAGCCTACCGTGCCCCACCACACCATCCTCTTTGCCGAGGACACTGACTTCTGTCACCAGGAGAAACAGACCATCAGGTACACCCCCTGGCCAGCCCTAATGAGGATGCATGGCTGGGCCCTGGCCTGGAGGCTGATGGGCCTTCTGTCTGCCCCTCCTGCAGTAAGCTAGAGGAAGACCAGGACATACAGATGATGAATGAAAACCAGGTCATCACTACCTCAAGGAGGAAGCCCGGCACTGCTGACCCAGGTAGGTGGCATGTCTCTGCCCTTTGCATCCCTGTCAGAGGCTTGGTTTGGTAGAGAGGAAGCAGGCATCAGAGTCTAACCCTGTGACCAGGAGGGAAAGGCAAGGCACCTTGTGGAAAACCAGAAAAGGACACCAAGAGGAGGACTCCTGGGACAGGTAGCATTTGAGCTGGGTCCTAAAGGATGTCTAGTAACATAGGCAAAGGCTTTATGGGTTCCATGGTAGAGCCTACTCCATGCATGGGATAGGCCACAAAGGATGCCCAAAACTCAGGCTAGCAAGGTCTGCCCCTGCCTGAATGGCAATCTAGGTATATGGCTGCTGTCAAGGACAATGTAACTCCTCCTGTGTCCTTCCACAGCCTTACGCCCCAAAACCTGCATACGTGAAAAGGAGACCTCAAGGCGTTGGCGATGCTGACTGGAACAGGAGGGAGAGCCTCTCCAGGCTGGCCAGGCTCTATCACCAGGCCTGAACAGTACTGTGTTCCTCATACTTCAGGGTTGGCCGGCTGGGACACCAAGAGCTGGAAGAACGTGGAGGGACAAGGGACTTTAATCACAGCCTCGGGAGCTATAGGGGTCACATGAAAGGGTCAAGAACAGGGTAGCTGCCCTGCCATACTGGGCTGCTGCTGGGAGCCAGGAATACTTAGTTCTTCTCTGTGCCTCTCCTGTGAGGTCCATAAGCACAGGGCCAGTCCTAGGCAGCCCCTGACTCAGGCCCAGAACTCAGTACATGACCCTGGGGCCCATGCCCTGACTGCACAGCCCTGCTCACTAAGGGCAGCAGAGAGGCTGAAAGGCCACTGTGCCACAGCTCCTCATCTATCCAGTGCCTCTGGAGACCTGTAGGGCCTAGTCTTAGGTGTCTCTGTCCTCTGTCCTGCTAAGGAGAGAAAGTGAGCTGCAGTGAGTACTGAAATCTGCCCCTAGTCCCTGCCCCTCTGCCTATCACACACACACACACACACACACACACACACACACACACACACACACACACACACACACACACCAGAGTTGGGAGGGCCTGGGCTCAGGCTTGCCCCTTCTTCTCCCTGCAGCACAGAGCCCCATGCCTGTGTGTACATCTATAGAACAGGCTCAGATCAGGGACCTAATCATTCTCCCAGTAGTGGGTAATTTCTGGTTCCAAATATTAATCTGTTGTTTTCCTGGCTCAGGGCCCAGTGGGGCCGGTGCCACAGTACCAAACTCAGTAGTACATTCTGATGCTACCAAGAATCACAAAGGCTTCCAAGCGGCAACACCCAGCAGCTGTACAGATGTTTTAATTCAAAACCAGCTGATGTGCAGATAGGATTGCCTCTCTGATGAGAATCCATCATCTCTGTAGCCTCCAGGGGCCCCCAGCTCCTCCACTCACTCCCAGATGGGCCTCACACCTCCCAGGAGGGCCATCAAACCAGCTCTTAGGAGGAAGCCAAGACCACTGCTTTAACAGTCCTCAGGGTGGGCACGGGGTTTTCCTGGAACACCCAAGACTGTGACCTTTGTGTGCTCCCTGCAGACCCTTCGTGAGTGTTTATAAATGTATATTCCATTCAATCTCAGAGGGAAGTCACTGGTACAAGCATTAACTCTCAAATAAATGTCTATTTTTTCTTACAGAATCAATAAAAGATGTTATTAAGAATGGAGTGTGGTGCACTGGATGGGGTCAGCCAGAGGGAGCCTTTGTTACCAGGGTCGATCTGAGGCGTGCAGAAAAACTCATGTGTGTACCTATCTGAGCTCTGCTCCCACCACCCCCTGCAGGTGGGGATATGACCTTGGACCCACTTTCTCCATGGCGTTCACCTGCCCCACCAGGAAATGGTACATACAGTACACACCAGGCACTAACCATTTAATCCACATTACATGTCAAGGGCCTGGGGCACAGAGAGGCCGTGTAACCTCCCCAGACGTACAGCTTTGAAAGCTATTGATGAATGCATAAATCCTCAGGTGACTACTGGAGAGCATGGGTGACAGCCCTATAGAGGTCTTTGACTACAGGGCTTCATCTGGGGCCACTTCAGATTCCTGGGACATCCTCCCACCTGCTGTCAGTATTCAGTTGCCCTTGGGCAGGAAGAGGGAGGCAGTCATCTAAACCCAGACAGATGGAGAACATGGGCTCTGCACCCACACACTCTACTCACTGTGTTACTGGCAAGAAGCATGGCCTCTGTCCTGTGGGGCAGACTCTGGCCAGGCTGCACCCCTGGCGCCACCCAGCCCCTTAGCCCCTGCGTGGCCCAGATCCTGTCTCTGGTGGGAGTATACAGAGCAGCCTCATCTGGTGGGGGAGCCAGTGAGGGCATCCACACCCTGGCAGGTGAGTGAGACTGGGTGTAGAAATGTCCTAAGGTGGTGCTCTTCAGATGTCCCCATGGCCCCTTTGTTCTGCTGGCTTTCATCGGCTTCACAGCCAGGAGATCAGGGCAGGGAGCACATGTGAAGAAACAGGTCTGTGGCCACAGTGTTCACAAGGAGGCCCCAGCCCCGAGGACCTGCCACAGGCTGGGGAATGTATATAGGGATGCGTGCCCGCCAGCGCCCAGGACTGTCTCCTGAATTGCAGGTGTTGCATGTGTGGTCTCTAGGCCTGCCTAGAAACTGCTCAGCTCACAGCCCTGGCATGAGGGCAGCTCCTGGCAGCCTTATTTCATAGTAACAGCAACAAAACCAATGGTAGCCAACATGTTTGAGGCCCTTTGCCAGGAAAATAGGCCTGTGGGTCCTGGACAATGGTACTCATGTGCTGTAGGTGCCCTACCCCCAGCATATTGCATGACATGTGATGGTTCTGGGGCCAGAAGACCTGGGTTCAAGTACAGGTTCCACCATCTTCTGTTCCCCAACCCAAAGCACCTTCTCCTGAGCCATCCCCCACCTAGCCGTGTCATCTCAATGGAGTCTAGGCCCTGACCCAGGCTCCCCTACTCAGACTGCACAGCAGTGGTAGCAGCTACCTCCTTCTAGGAGTTGTCCCAGCATCCAGAGCTTGGGTCTCACGGTGCATCCCTCCCAGGAGACTCTCAGCTAAGTCTCCTAGTGACCATTGTTTCATGATGCACAAACTTGAGAGCAGGAAGCACAGACCTCAGGCTGGATGACACTGGTAGGGACTCTTTCCCAGGGCAACAAGCCACCCTCCTGCCTGCCCCCTCGTTCCAGGATGTGCTCAGCCTCAGCTGGTTGCTCCAAGTGTCAGCCATTGACTGGACAGACAGCTACGCCCACCCTTCCCTCCACTCCTACCCCTGTGCTTTGTGGTGGTCCCCTTTCTGCCGATCCTGAGACTCTTCACCCAGCTTGTCCCTTACCCAGCGGAGGGAAAGGGGACTCACTGCAGGTGGTCCTAGTCCCAGCTCGGCCTCTCCCTGCCTCAGCCGCCTCTGCTTCCTGCCTCTTCCCAACCCGTCAGCTTGGCTGGGCCCACAGCCATCAGCAGGCCCCAGTCCTCCAGTGTGGGAGCAGGGTGAGGAGGGCCAGTGAGGACTGGCCAGGGGACAGGAGCTGCGCTCCCCACAAGCCCCCACCTGGCCCTCCTCACTCTTGTGGCTTTCTTGTTGGAATTGCACAGGTAAGCTCCTGCAGTGGTATGTTTCTCTGTCTTGTTTCCCCGTGGCAGCACCGTGTGCAGCTGTGTTCCGTGTGTTGATCCATTTTCAGATGGGGCCAGCTACCAGTCTAAGGCAGGGCAGGATTCGCACCCAGGCCTGTCTGAGTACACATCAGGATGATCTGTGCAGCCCTCACTTCCTCCCTCACAGCAGCAGCTCCTGCCAGCCTCGTCCTCAGGCCTGGCGGCAAAGGCCCATGAATCAAGCTGACATTTCCATTACCTGGGAGATGAGTATGTGACCTGGTCGGTGTACTGTGGCAGAGGTGGGGTGGGGTGGCGACCACTCATCAAGACCACAAGCCAGGGAAGAAGTGGCGGCTAAGGCCTGCCCGTCAGCTTTGGCCAGGGAAAGACTGCCATGGGTCCCTCTGCACATGGAGAGAGGAGGTGACAGATATGTGAGGACATCAGGAAGCCTGCAGGCTCCAAGGAGACCGATAAGGAGAGGCCTTAGTGTGTATATGGGGTTGTGTTGTGTACCCAGACCTGTGCGTGGATGCTGAGCATAACATCTGGAAACTGTCAGCCTGGCCAAGGTCAGCTACTGAAGCTCTGTGTCCAGATGTGGTCCAGACTTGGGAAGGGTAACAGGTATCCACCAGCTCAGGATGCGGAGCGAGGATGCCCATTCAGACTAGCCCTCTGCTTCCCTTCCTGGACTCTTAAGTGGTTTGTGGCCCCTCCCAGGTTTCAGACCAGGTGGCATATCCTGGTTGTGGCATATCCAGGAAGGATACTCTGGTGTTTACTCCCAGCAAGAAGACAGCCCTTAAGGTGGCTGTGAGACATCACTAACCTGTAATTGCTTCCTCTTATCTAGCCATCAGCCTTCCCATTGTAATGGAAGACAGCTGGGTTCCAGCTGCTTCCCAGGAGGACCCAAAGCCTCATGGCCCTATGTTTGTCCTCCCTGCCTTCCCTTCTGGCAATGGCCCCCATTCCAATCACTCAGACATACACAGACCACTTGCATGATTATTTATTTAGTATTTTTCTTTAAGCCAACTCTTTACTGAAATGCCTATTGTGGTTCATTCTAAGCCTCAGCACTTGAATCTGGAACGTGGACACGCCCATACAGTTTTCTAATACACAATCACATAGACACGGCTATTAAAATAGATGACAGATTTGCAACTAAAATCATTTCCTAGGCCTCCTGGGGCTCGTGACCAACTTCACAAGGCTCCTGGATGACCATCAAGACCTACAAGGTTCCTTGTGGTGGTCCCAGACTCCAGACCTATGAACTTGCTCAGGCCCCATCACCATGGCTCCCACTTGCACAAGGCCAATGCTGAAGTTCCCCATGCTGGCCTTCTGGGACCTTCATAACTATGTAGGCCTCTGCCCAGGCCAACTTTGTCTCCCCCACCCCTCCCTACCCACCATGTGAATGCAAGGTGGCAGAGAGGTGCTCTCAAGAGTGACTGAGCACAGGCATGCATGTACACAAGCGTGGGGTTCATGCTTTGCCTCCAGATGCCCAGCCTGACACAGGGCAGAGACCTGAATCTTATCTCCTTTTTCCTGTCTCCCCCTACTCTCATGCCAGTCCCTCCTCTTGGCCCCTGAGTTGGCCACCTGGCCTCCACAAGCACTCTCCTCTCACTCAGGGCCCTGCAAAGACATGGTAGTCCTGCCTTACCCCTCTGCTCCAGCCCAGAGCTGGGATGACTTCCTAGACTACACATCTTGGTCAGTATCACTCTGCCCAAAGCACCCAGCTGTTCCCAGGATAAACTATGGGTCCCTTGTGAAGCTTTAAGTCCTCTCTCCTACCTGGTTCCATCCTCACAGCCCTCCTTTTCCCCCAACCCTTGCCATTTGGACCATGTGAAAGCCTTTTCACGCCCTGCTCTTCCCTCCACAGCCTGACACCAGCAAGGTGGCTTGGGTGTCATTTCCTTGATCAGCTGTCCTTCGGGTGGTCTCCAACAGGCACTGCCTCAGCCCCATGGCCCCAACTGTCCTCCATATGATGGCAGGGTGCTCTCCGTGATCCAGTCTCTGCCCCCTGTGCTCACAGGCACCAGTCTGTGTCACCCTCCAGCAGCTGTAAGAGGTAGATAGAATGAAGACTCCCACCTGCAGGATAAGGCCGCTGGGGCTGAGGAGACAGGATCTGATGCTAGGCAGTCTGACTCGAGGGCAGGTACCACACCCAGCATGTATACACTGAACTGCCATCTCCCAGTTCATCACTTGTCTGCTTCTCTGGAAGCTTCGGTGTCCTGTCTCAAGGGCCTACCACAGTGTGTGGCACACAGTAGAGGCACAATAGAAGACACCTTTATGCAGACCGATGTGCGGCTTGATAGCTGGATAATGAAGATGGCTGATGCATTGGTGGATAATTGACAGAAGGAATGACAATGACAGATGGATAATGGATAAGTGAATCATGGTGAATGGCTGGCTAATTGAGGACAGATAGATGGATGATGTATTCATGGTTAATGGATGGATAGCCGGATAGATGCTGGATGGGTGGGTAGGATGGATGGTTGGATAGGTGATGAGTGGCTACATGTTGCTAAATGGATGGATGAGTAGATGGATCAATCATGAATGTATGGTGGATAGGATGGATGTTGGCTAAATGGATTATGATACATGGATGGGTGGTGTGTAAATGATGGATGGTGGGTGAGTGGATGATGAACCGAAGGATCATGATTGGATGAGTTGGGTGGATAGGTGAGTGGGTGGTTGGGTAGATGATAGTGGGTGAATACTGTCTAATGGGTGGGTGGGTGAATGAAGGAGAAGACCACATTCTGCCTCTCTCTGCCAATCTCTAGAAGTCCTCCAGGGTAGGATGAGGCCTCTCGGGAGACTTAACTGGGAGTGAGTCTAGTTTAAATGCACTCTCCCATAAGTCAGGTTTAATCTCAAGCAAGAAACTTCCCTCTCTGGATCCTTCACTCTCCCATAAGTCAGGTTTAATCTCAAGCAAGAAACTTCCCTCTCTGGATCCTTCACTCTCCCATAAGTCAGGTTTAATCTCAAGCAAGAAACTTTCCTCTCTGGATCCTTCACTCTCCCATAAGTCAGGTTTAATCTCAAGCAAGAAACTTCCCTCTCTGGACCCCAAGCTCTCATGATCAAGTCAGGAATTATTCCCCCCACCCACCCAGGGCAGCTGAGAGGTTTTATGTAAAGTGGCTCTAGACACAGGGTAAAGGGTCCCCAGTGGTGTCACACTGCTGAGGTTCCCAGTCAAACATGCTCCCTCCAGCTCCTGGCCTGCTCCTCCTGCCATGCTTGGGACCATGACTGCTCTAACTACCTGTCTCCATCCTGACTACCCCAGACCAGGCTGGGCTCTGGCTGGCCTCTAGCTCATCAGTGGATGGATGATTGGCCCTAACCTCAGTGCCCAGGCTCACAACTCCAGGGCAGGATAATGATGGGGGAGGCAGCCCACACATAGCAAGAGAAAAGGTTCAACAAGCATTTATTGGGCCCCTGCTGTATGACTCCCACTGAGGCAGACACTGCCTCTCCTTCAATAAGTCCTGCTCCTTGTCCTCACAGGGCCCTGCCCCTCTGTGCACCTTCAATAAGTCCTGCTCCTTGTCCTCACAGGGCCCTGCCCCTCTGTGCACCTTCTTGGCTTTGTGTCTGACTGTGGGTGTCCAGCATTCAGTGGTCAATGCCCATGTCCTTCCTGGCTTCCCAGCTGGGTGGGGCTCTAAGTGTGGTGGTGGCCGCTGTCTCCAAGTCTCTGTGCAGCCTGGACAGTTCCTCGGGCCTGCCTGACCCATCTCTGGGGTCCCAAAACCCAGGCAGCGGTGGCAGTATAGGCCTGGTGTCTCCATGACAGGAGAGCTGAGTCCACAGCACACAGACCAGGCTTCCATGTCCTGTGGGAGGGGTCGTGCCAGTGATGGCGGGAAGGCAGGGGCTGGCTTGGGTCACATCACACCCAGTGCCCCAGGACCCAGCACTGGCGATTCAGCTCTGCTGCCTCATGAGCTGAGCTCCGTGGCCAGGAGTCTCCCATGTGCGGCTGGTGCCCTGCAAGAGACAAGGCAGATGTTGCTGACGGTGGTCTGCTTCCACCCTTGCCACCTTGACCTCTGGCCCAGCCCCAGCCTCCACCTGCTCCCATCAAGCCCCCACGCTGCACTGTCCGTCCACACCATCCACTGACTCACCAGCGCGGAACCCCACCAGGCTTGCTGCGAGCCACCAACCAACCCAGCGGTGTCCCACCAGCCCACTCAGCCACACAATCCAAGCGTGCCTCTCCCCCACCAGCCCTCTGCAGGTCATTGTCCCCTCCCACTCCACTGCACACCTACAGCCCTCTTCTCACACTTACATCTACCTGTAATCTAGGCGCTAACCCTTGTGCCCACCAGCACACCCGCCGACATCTGCCATCTTGTGTGCCCTTGGCCATGTGTGTGTCCATAGGCTCGACAGTGCATATCAGACTGACCTTCCATTCCTACCAGCTGGTGACTTCCTTCAACCTTCCCTTCAGCCCTTCCTCCAGCAGACTCATTGAGTCCCCCCTTCCCATTTACCACCCAGCCAGCCATCCCAGCCCCTAACTCTGCCATCTCCCAGCTTTCCATCCAGCATCATAGCCAGGCTCCTCATGGGCCTGGAGGTATCAGGAGTGGGTAACTCCACACCCCTAGATTTTATGCCACACTCCAATAGTGAGTATGAATCGGGAAGCCCAAGTCGACCCTGACTACATTGTCCCCACCCAACACCTGCCACTGCCCTGCTTTTAGAGACCTGACAAGCTGAAGGATGTAAGACCCCTCCCTATCCCACACTCTCCTTTCTGTGCCAGATTAGGTTTTGGATCTAACCATGGTCCCTCAGAGGCTTCTTTAAGATGTCTCTGATATGCCCAAGCCATCCCTGTCACTCATTGAGAACCGCCGCCAAGTGTCCAAGAACCTCCTGTCCAGTGGAGTCCTCCAGACCAGGTTCAAACTGGTCCTTTATGGGGAGCCTGCCTTGACATCCTCCCCCACCTGTCAGACAAAAATGCTGTCCCCGTATATCTAAAAGGGGGCAGAGGCCCAGCACGGATCAGCAGCAGGGTCAGTGAGGCAGCCATATGGAGCTAGACAGGTCGGTGCTTTCTGACTCCAAGCATCCCATCAACAGTCACTGTGCTGCCCATCCTGAGCTCCAGAGCATGCAGGCATCCTTGAGGGTCAGATGGCTCCTGGAGAGAACCGGAACTTGCATACCTCTCAGGACAGAAAGCTCATGGCCCCTCTACCCCATGCATTGGGCTTTAAGAGATGCTCTCCCGATGCAGAAGCAAGGAGGGGCATGAGGTGGCTGTCATTCTGTTCTTGTGGCTTTTCTCCCCTTCTGTTTTTAATATTCCTTAATGTTAGTGTTTTGTACATTTTGCTGTATTTTTAAAGGAGTGAAAAACATTTTGCAAACATTCTGGAATCATTTGGCCTTGGGGGAGGAACATTTGTTTTGGCCCCAGCTACCAAAACAGTTGCAGTCTTTGGATGAGCTTGTTGCCAACATAAAGGTGTTTGGGCTTTTTATTTGTTTGTTTGTTTGTTTTTTGGTTTTCCTCTCTCTCTCTTTTAATGAGAAGCAAATATTTGGTGCATAGAAATGTTTGGCTGTTTTTCTAAATGAGTATTTAGAAATGACTGTAGCTGCTCTCACAGGAGCTAGCAGGCAGAACTGCCAGTGGGAACGGAGAAAGTGGTGTGTGGTTTAGGAAGAACAGGCAGAGCCCACCTCATTCCTAGAGATGAAATGAGGCTTTCTCACTCCTCGCTCTGTGTGGCCACACCTCCACGGTCTGGGGCTCCCCTCCTTCTCTCACCTTCCAGAAGGTGCTCAAGGCCCAGAGCCATTGGTGTTGTGTCTCAAAGCCCTCCCCTCCTCCCCTCCTCCCCTCCTCCCCTCCTCCCATCCTCCCGTCCTCCCCTCCTCCCCTCCTCCCTTCCTTCCTTCTCTCCTGGTTCCTTTTCTTTGAGGCCATCATCAGCCAGAAAGGCCTCGGGCTGGGATTTGGGAATCCCAGCTCAGCACTGCTTCCAGACCCCAGACCATGTCACAAGTGAAAGCAGGCTGCTGCACTCTAACCAGCCTTACCACAGGAAATCTGGGTTCAGATCTTCCAGAAGGTTCAGAGACACTGAAATTTCTGACCTCAAAATAAGCTGCTTCTGTAAGGTGTTTTGTCACAGAAATGGAAACCTAACATGTCCTTCCTTTCACTCTGCACCACTCTCCATGGATACCAGGTAGTAGCAGCCATTCCCAGAACGTGCAACTGGATTTTACAATAGTTCCAGATTCTACTGCAATTTGTTTACTGCCCCGTTGGAGGGCAGGGACAGATCATTTCAGGCAGAATTAACAAGGTATAAAACAGATTCTTGGCAGACTGGAAAGCTTTTAGGAGGTGTGAGTGTCCAGCAATCTTGTCACTAGGGGAAGGCAAACAACACAGCAACAGAGAGAAGGGTGACTGACCCCACTCATCCCATCTCTAAGGCTTTAGGAGTCTGTCATAAGTCATGGCATCATACTTCAGAAGCATGGATTCCACACATCTCAAACCAAGGAAGTGACTCTCCAGGGTCATGTATAGTTTCTTCTGTTTGCTTGGCTTCTGAGACATAGTGAGACACTATGTCACCCAGACTGGGGCTACCCTGTGCTGCAGTAACCTGTGTCTTAATGAGAGTCCCAAAGTGCTTCTCATCAACAGACTAGAATACTACTGCCTTAGACCAAACATCAGACAAATAGAGAAGCATCGGCTTTGAATAGTTTAGAGTGGTTGGGTCTGTGACTTGGGCCAAGTGACAGTCCCTAGAGTCAGTGCCTTCACTGCAAGATAGAATGCTTCTGACATCACAGGGACCTACTGTGTGGATACACTGAACTACCACTGTGGTATGGCAGTGGGATCCCGTGCTGGCAATATCAACACTCTGGAGGCGAGAGAGTGGAAAAGGGCAAGTTAGCAAGGGGATCAAGAAAGGAGTAACCCACCGACAAGAGGGAAGAGGCTCCTGGGGAGCGCTGTGTTCCCCATGGCCTGGCAGGGAGGGGCCTAGCCCCAGAACTGGGAAGATGAAGTCAGGCTCATGTCTCATGAAGACGGATGGAGGAGACTGGCCCTAGAAGCAACAGTTTCCACCTTCAAGTTGCTAAGTAGCCCAGCCTGTGACCAAGGCAGACTGCTGCAGGCAGGAACCGCTCTGAACTGGGTCTGTGGCCAGTGGGCCCCACTGGCACAGGTAAACTGTTTGAAATGCTGACATATGGTGGCGGCAGACCCACACACCTGCCATCCCAGTCCCCGTGGTGGAGGCAGGAAGATCGCAAATTTGAGGCCAGCCTGGGCTAACATAGTGAGATTCTGCCTCAAACCAAAATGCAGAAGCCCATCTTAGCCCAGATCAGTCTTTATCCAACTCTCCACCCCATGTGATACCGCTGGGACCCCTGACCTCCAGATGGCAGGGTCTCAGATGTCCTCAGGCTGCACGCCCATCTGTGCCCAGCAAACTGGCCTTGATTTTTATTTTGAAAATATGGTCTGGTCTGCCTCCATTTTAATAACGGAAGAAACTCTGGACATGTTATATTGAATTTGATTTTGATCTAATCAAAATGCCAAGTTGCTCTGGGCCCACAAAAAGTCTCCCTTAAAATTTGCTCTGCTGTTCTGAGGGCAGCTGTAGCCAAAGTCCACCTAGACTGAGTTCCCACAAGCTGCCTGTGTGCTCAGAGAGCAACAAGCTCTGGCAGAGCCCTGCCTCGCAGACACACCTGGCAAATCAAAAGCCTGTCCCAGGCATCGGACTTGACAGGAGCCATGAGCTGCAAACCCCAATTGTCCCAGAGGATGATGCAGATACCCAGGTCAGGTGGCAGCATCGCTTCTATCAAATGTCACACCGGATGTGCTCCTGAGCTAGCTGGTGGCAATGCAAAGCCCCAAAGGCAGGTTTCAAAGATAGCCTCTCCCCAGGAGGAAAAAAAACTGTGGCAGATTCTATATCATAGAAGGACTGGAAGGCAAAGAGCAACTTTTTTTTTTTTAACAAGACAGGGTTTCTCTGTATTGTTTTGGAGGCTATCGGTCCAGCCTGGCCTCGAACTCACAGAGATCCGCCTGCCTCTGCCTCCCGAGTGCTGGGATTAAAGGCGTGCGGCACCACCGCCTGGCTCAAGAGCAAGTTTTGCAGTAGTTAGGAGAAGTGGAAGAACGTTTATATAACTCTTTGTGCCAGAGTATCTGCTCCGGGAGGGAGAGGTGGGAGACACACAGAGGTGCAAAGGCAATGACTGAGCACCGACTGTATGCTACTCACTGATCTGGGCACTCGGGCTATAGACACAGACAAGATGGACAAGGTGTTTATCAGAGAGATGCAAGAAATGGGAGCCACGTGCGTAATAAAACGCTAAGTCAGGGAGGGACAAATGCTGGAAAGAAAGGCAGGGGACGGAAGGGCAGCTGGAAAAGTAGTCCACAGAGCAAGAGACAAAGTGGGCCACACAGTGCTTTAGAGAGAGAGCACGGGGTTCGAGTACCAAGGTCCCAAGATGTAAAATAGCTTAGCACGGTGCAGCTGCTGCCTGACGCGGCCGAGGGAAGGGAAGAGGAAGGTGGTGAGGTTGGGGCCCTGGGGCATGCGCTGGAGCCCGCAGCGAGCAGAATGTCTACATGCCAGGCCGGATGTCTTCATCTCAGACTGGATAAAGTGAGGTCTCTGCTCAGCAAAGTTGCCTGATAATTCTTCCTTCTTCCGTCCTCTGGATCAGCCATCAAAGAGCTAGCAGGCAGGAGCTTTGCAGAGCGCACACAGCAAGTGTTTAATAATGTGGCTCCCTGACACCCTCCTCCCCCATGCCTCCTGCCGGCAAGCTGTCCCCGGCAGGATCTGAGCAGCTGCTTCATGAGGAAATATTGCAAAACTCGCCCAGGCGGTTCCAAAATATTTTCTGGGCAGCAACCCCACAGCCGCTAAGAGGCCGGGTTCTGGGGACCGGCTGCTTCTCTAGGCTGTCAGCGCTCTACTCTTACAGGGACCCCATCCTCAGGACCCAGCCTGAGGAGACGGGGCCACACAGACAGTTCCTCCCCACCAATGAGCCTGCATCCCCTCTGATACTGCCTATATATGATGCTGGGTAAGCCCAGTCTTTTGGTTTGCTGAGACAGGGCCTCACTATGCCATCCAGGCTAGCCTCGAACTTAGGATTTTTCTGTCTTGGTCTATAAATACTGTGATGATGGGAATGTTCCACCATGCCTGACCAGAGCTATTTTTAGCCTCCCCGGGATTCTTTATCTTATGTGTTGGTATTGAATTGACTCAGTGAGTGAGAGAGGTCATCCTCTCTAGCCCCTGCTCTGTGCCCTGGATAATATGCCCACACTCTGATGTGGGACACCAGCAGGAACCCCACTGTGGCTCCTGATGCACTATGCAGTCACACTATGGGCCTTGCTGTCCTACCAGCATGAAAACTTGTTGAGGTCCCCCAGTTGACCTTGCGTGTCTCTCTGCCTCTGGGGCTCACAGAAGCCCATGAGTCATGAATGAATGAGTAGGTGAATAAATCAGAGAGTAAATGAATGACAGAGTAAAGGAACAAGTGGACGCCTTTCCTGCATCATAGAAACAGCCTCTTCAGATAAATTGATTCCTTCATTGCTCTGACATGGGTATCCATCCTCTGTACCCTGGTGGTCTCCAGAATGTCCAGGAGTGCAGCCATCTCTAACTTCCCTGACTTAAGATGCATGGACAGAGATGCTCGGGTACTGAGGCTCTTTTCTCCCCTGAAACCAGAGTAGAGGAGGCCTTCCATACTCGCTCCTCAGAGGGCACAGCTCCCTGCACCTGCCCTTCACACAGATGATCTTGTAGTTCCTCAGTGCTAGCTACCCAGTTCCCTCCTATAGGCCTGTGATCTCCTTCTATGCAGCTTCTCCCTCAAAGATACCACCCATCCACTGGTGGGGGATGTCCTTCTGTATACATGTTTCTCTTATTGATGAATGAACACTGTTTGGCCAATGAGGCAGGAAGATAGGCAGGACTAGGAGTAGAGGAGAATTCTGGGAAAGGTAGGCATGGAGAGCCCACCAGAAAGAGTCATCATATAGTCGACAAAGGAGAAACAGGTCCAGACCCTTCCCCAGTAAGCCAAGACCATGTGGAAATACATGGATTTATAGATATGGGTTAATAATTAAGACAGAGCTAGCAATAAGAAGCCCTAGCCATTGGCCAATTGTTTAATAATCAATATAAGTCTTTGTATGCTTATTTGGGGCCAAAGCAGCTGTGGGACCTGGTGGGCAAGAAGAACCTCCAGCAGCACTCCCCACGCCCGCCACAGCACTCTGACTCAACACCTGCAAAGCCTCCAGTCTTCTTGCCAAACTCTTCCATTGACTGTCGCACACACCTTTGAAGGCTCCTACAGAAGTTCTGTGCAACCCCAAGGCTCCTCCCTCCATGCCGTGTGTGATCATAGAGGCACACCTGCAAAGTGCCAACTAGCTAGTTCATGGTTCCACACTCTGGCAACCCCCTCCAGTGACCTGTAGAACTCTTGTTACAGCTGGGGCAGTAGCAGACCTGTGTCATTGCCTTGATGTTCTCTTTAGAACCAATGGGTTTCCTCTTTCTTGAGTCCCATCCCCATTCCAACTTGTGATGTCTGGATCCCCTAAACAAAACAGTTCTGTGGATGCAGTCTTGTTATTGTCACTGTGAATGTGTGTGTGCGCACGTGTGTGTGAATATGTGTGAATGTAGGTATATGAGTTTGCGTGTGAGTGTGCGAATGTAAGAGAATGTGAATGTATGTATGTGAGTATGTGTGTGTGAAAGAGAGAGGCAGTGTGTGTGTGGGGGTGTCAGGGTCTGGTCCCAGAGAAGCTCAGTCTGAACCACTCTGACAATGCCATCAAAAAGTTCTCAAATCCATGCTTCTCTGTGGCCACATTCAGACCACTACCGTGTCACCTAAGAAAAGGGGACTTAGCAGCCTCCAAGCTGGCCTTCCTTCAGCTAGCACTATCCTCTACATCTGACCCTGAGCTCACTGCAGAGGCATGTGTATGGAGAGAGAAGCGGGAGACTAAGAAAGGTCAACAGAGACCTCCATCAGACGAGAAAGACAGTGGATCCAACAAAAGATAGATGAAAGATCAATAGAAACAGATAGATGATAGATAGATGATAAATAGAAACATAGATGATAGATAGATGAAAGATAAATAGAAAGAAGATAAATGATGATAGATTGATAAATACGATAGATAGATAGATAGATGATAGACAGATAAATGATAGATAGATAGATAGATAGATAGATAGATAGATAGATAGATAGATAGATAGGCAGATAAATGATAGACAGACAGACAGGCAGGCAGGCAGCGGTTAAGGGTAAAGGACTTGGGCTTTCTACTCAGCTCCCAGCACTCCTGGCCTTCCAGCACGGTGACTCAGGTACAGATGAAATGCCCTAGGGCATCTCAAAAGATCTAGGAGTCATATGCTGACTAGCAAGGCTGTGTGACCTGGATGGAACAAGTTACTCTACCTCTCTGTGGTTTAATTTGCTAAGCTTCCTCCAGTGGTAGTTAGGGGTTGGCAGGGTCATGAGGTGAGGCCTGAAAAGCGCCCATGTGGAGGTGGAATGGCAGAGAAAAGTAGCTCACTGAGATGTAAGTGCCTCGCCTGCCACCTTCAGTGGCTTGTTCTATTCCAGTGATGGCTGAAGCTGACACTTGTTCTTATGGCCGCCCTGCATCCTTCTTGCTATGTCCATCCATATAAAACAGATGAGATGAATGCACTTGAAGCCCCCAAGCAAATCTGTCCCCTCCCTTCCTCTGCAGATCCCACCCAGGGCTAATCTCAAAGGCCAGTGGTGAAGTCAGGCCAGGCCTGGAGCTGCCAGCCCCAGCTTAGTCTGTGGTGTGTGTCTAGGGGAAGATGCTGGGGCAGAGGTCCCAGCCCAGTCAGCCCAGCAAACACTTACGGGTAGGGTATCTCTCGTGGCGGCAGGCGAGGCGGAAGTCTTCCTCTTCACTCACATCCCCCTTCTCAATCCTGGAAAAAAAAACAAAAGCTGGAATGAGAGGGCAGGCAGAGCTGGGGGCACCCAAGACCCGAGGAGCACGGTGCCCACTTTCAACACAGCTTTCCACCTGTGCCCACAGACCTTTACCCAGGCCCTGAGGGATGGGTGCCACGTTCCCACTTATGGGTAAGAAACTGAGGCATTCAGGGGACAACTGAGACACAAAGCAATGGCTGAGCATCCACAAGGCCAGGGTTTACACACACACAGACACACACACACACACACACTACACACAGACATAGACACTCACACACAGACATAGACACACACACACATGCGCACAGAGGGGAAAGAGGGTAGGAAGGGGGAGGGAGGGAGGAGGGAGGGAGGGAGGGAAGGAGGGAGGGAGGACGCACACTACACGCATACATAAGTAAAATAAAGTCGTCAGTAGGTTGGTTGTTGTCAGCCCTGGCTGAGCTCAGTGTGTCTCAACTTGGCTATTGCTGGAAGTTACCCATTAGGAGTTTTAAACCCCATGTGGGCTAGCCTTACACTTTCTCCTCATTTCCTCCCTCACTGCTTCCTTTCTCATACTGTGCCAGGTCCTGGGCTCTAGTTCTCTAAACAACTACAGAGGCGCATTAGTGGTTGGCATTACAAACATAGCAGAGACCACCTTGTGATGGCTGCTATCACTAATACACCAATGGCCACCAATGCACCCACCAAACACATACAGAAAACGAGGTTTGGGGTAGCTGAGAGTTACAGGGTCACACTGCCTTGTCACAGATGAACTGAGCTCCACAGTTCCCCCATCCCAGTGTCCTAGGTCTCCAAATGTCCCTGTGTTGTCCTGCTGGAAGCAGACACTCAGTCCCAGAAGGCTGCAGAAGGGTGGTCAAGCCCTCAGCCAGACCCACTTTAAGGCTTAACCCTTTAAGGTGCAAGCTCTGCTGTAGCCCTGCAGAGCCTGTGGATATGGGACTTCACTGGGGAATCTTCCAGAACTGAGTCTGTGGGAGCAAACCAGCAGGACGCTGAGGCAGAGAGATCATGAGTTTGAAAGCAAGACACGGTCTCAGTGAAGGCTAAGAGGAAGGAAAAGAAAAGCAAAGTGGAAAGACATGGCACTGAGGCCCAGCAGGCGAGGCCTTGGCTCCCAGGTCGTCAGGTCAAGCGCCACCTCAGCCACCAGGCCTCTGCTGCCCCACACAGCGGCTTCCAACCCTGGCCGCCCCACACAGCGGCTTCCAAGTCTCTGCCCCCACACAGCAGCTTCCAACCCTGGCTGCCCATGGCCACAACATCCCACCAGGAACATCAAGCTCTTCTTTGCAAGCAACTGCAAATGTCATGAGGTGAGCCATCTTTGATCTGAGTAGAAGTTTCCAGGGAAATGCTTTGTTTTGTGTTCGAGTTTTAAAGGATGGCAGGAGCTATCACAAGAGACCCAGAACGTCCCCTGGAAAGCTGACAGGGCCTTGGTGGGTGGTAGGTGGGACCAGGCACCTTGGATGTGACACATGCATCCTCCTGGGCCCCAGGTTCTCCTGAGTTGGGGCTCCACCTTGTTCTGGCTGACTAGGTCTGCAATGTCCCTTGTCCTCCCTTCTGTCCCCTCATCTGGCGAGCAGGTGTACACTACCTGTTGCTTAAGGCTGTGGCCAGCACTGAACAAACTTGTCAATCTGTCCAGAACTTCCATCACCGCTCGCCCTCATAATTGCCCCAGTTGTCACCACCCTGGTCACCAGCAGCACACTCCGTGTCCCTGTGAAGCTCCAGTGACAGAGAGGCACTCCTTTGCCTCATCAGCCATGGGCCGCTGTTCCATCCCAGTTAGCTCTTTGCTGACATTTGCCTCGAGACTCTTGGCTTTCTGTTTGTCTGTCTGTTTGTTTGTTTTGTTTTGAGGCAAGGTCTCATTACACAGCCTGGCTTTGAACTTGAGACTCTCCTGCCTGGAGCCTCCTGAGTGCTGGGATGACAGACCTACTCTGCCTTGCCTGGCCAGACTGTCGTGTTTTGAAGGAAACAGAGGAAAGACTGAATTGCCAAGGCTCCGGTCTAGGGTCAGTGGACCCGCAAGCGGCTGCGGCACAGCCCTTGCCCCAGAATCCACTGGAGTGATCTACCTGGGCCCAAGAGCAGTCATAGCCAGAGTGTTACATAAATCATGAGGGGAACCTAGGTGGATTCCATGGCAGATAAGGGTGACCAAGGGGCGGGGTATGACAAACACACCAGGCAGACAGAGCTTAAGTGAGACGTTTTATTAGAAAGGGGAGGGGGAGGAAAGAGATAAAGAGACACAGAGACAGAGAGGACAGACGAGAAGAGGGACACAGGAAAAGTCCTGTCTGCCCCAGGGGAGCAGTGGGGAAGAGAGAACAGAAAGAGAGTGTACATGGGCAGAGGTCTTTCTTTGAAAGGGTCCTTTGCACCTGGGCTGACCAGGGTACTGCCTGAGTGCATTCTGCCAGGTGACAGGGGCAGGCCAGCACAATGCCTGAGTCCTTAGAAGGAAGTGAAAGAGCCCCAGGGGAGGGAGGTAGCACACAGGTGCCCTGAGCTCCCACATCTGGCCCTCTGAGAGAAAAAAGTGCCAGAGCACAGGAGACCTCTGTGGGCAGAGGCTTCTCTTGTGTCTAGATGCCCTATTGTCAAGATGGGCAGGGACTCAGACAGCTTTGCCTCCCTCCCTCCTGATCTCTATTGCACAGTGTCCCATCGGAGCCACCCCCAAAGCCCGCTTCCCTTCCCTGGCCCCAGGCCAGCTGTTTCCAGCACTGCCTCCATCCGACTCTCCGTGCTTCTGACCCACCTGTGAGAAAGGCTCCTTTCCTCTCCGTTTCAGTAAACTAACTTCTACAGAGTCACCCCTGTGCGTGCATACCAGATGGGCTCGAACTTCCCAGCAATGACAGCTGGAAGAGCCTGCACCGGCCTCCATGTCTGTTCTGTGTCTCTGAAGATGTTGGCAAACAGCACTGGTCTACAGGCTGCACTTTAAGTAGCCCCTGCCCGTCTGCTGGCCCTTGCCGACCACATCACCTCCTGGGATCCTGAGAGTGGCTACCTGTTCTGGTTCGCAGCCCTATGTTTCCCAAATTTAAAGACAACAGATGCCACCTGAAGACGTGATTATGCAGATTCTCAGAGACCAGTCTTGGGTGTAGGGCTAGATTATGCTTTTCTCACAGGCTCCATGGAAGCCCATAGTGGGTCACAGATTCCTGTTGATTCTCGGAACATTTGCTAAGCCTGGGTATCTTGGCTTTCCTGTAGTGGAGGACCTGCAGGAGGGAAGTCGTGGTACAGGACTCTCCCCCACGCTTTCTCTCCCCAGCTGGTCAGTCCTAGAAGAAGCTCAGGAGTTCAGGAAGTAGGTATTTCTTCCAGATGTTCCTCCCATCCTGCCTCCACTTTTTCCCACCCTAAGGTTCACCCTCTGACCCCTGTCTTCCCTTCCAGTGCTGTCATGGAACAGCGGTGCCAATGATGCCATCCTTGGAGCAGTGTGAAGGTACTGCAGTCTACCGGGCATCAGCCCTAAATCCTGGAGGCCACACTCCTCCCAGGAATAGCAATTTCAGAGGACCTCAGCCAGGAGTGGTGCTCTGCAAGGAGCCCCTGGGAAGTCCCATCAAAGCCTCCTCAAATATAGATGGGAAGACAGAGCCGGGACTCAGAGGTCACAGATCCGGGAGACAGCCTCAGAGGACAAAGAACACATTGATTTTAAATGATCAATTTAGAAAGGAATGAAGGATAGAATTAAAAGGAATAAAAGAAATAAATGACCCGTAGATAGTAAATTAAGATTCCATAACATTCCACCAAAAGGGCAGCTGAAAGAAAGGAGGAAATAGATGGTTTTAGAGGATGTTATTCTCCACTTTTCCCCCTTCTTTTGCATGATAGAATCATTTGAGATGTAGCAAGAGAGAGCAGTTCCTCACATAGCTCACGCTCTGGCCTGGTCTTTAGAGGTGGTTAATTTTGTTCCTTTCTGCAAAGAGGTCTGCAGATGCCTTGTCAATGGCAAGGGTAGAAATCACTCCCTGAATGTACATGGAGTCTCCAGCATTAGTCCCATCAGAACACCCCCTCCCACTTTTGAAGTCTCCACAAGTTTCCTCCACCACAAGGCCCAAAGGGCAGAGTGATGACCCCCTGATTTGTAGCAGAAGACCCTTCCACTGTTCTAAGGAGTACTCCCCTGGGGGAAGGGCACAGTCATCAAGCCTGGATGCCTGTGGTATGAGCCTGTGCTCCTGCCTGAATGTCCAGAGTGCAAGCAGGGCGGAGACACTGGGGCAGGAAAAGAATCAAGCAGAACACATGGGGCATTCCCATGATGTCCTGGGGACCACAGATGCCCCACCAGTGCTCTGGATGGAAAGGTGGGTCCATTATCCTGATCATATCAGGGTTGCAGAGCAATGGCTACTGGGAGAATAGATTCTAGAGTCAAAACATGGCCAGGAAAAGGTGAGGGGACTGCTGGATTCGCCCAGGTGAGTGTGAGGTGACTCAACCTTGCCTGAATGACCAAGAGTGGAGTTGGGAGGAGTAAACTACAGCTATCAGCACCTCCCTACCAGAGGCACACAGATCCCAGTGGATCCTGAAGCCTAGGGATGTGCCAAATCCTATACAATTGATAGTTTTCCATCCGTACACACCCATGAGAAAGTTAATTCACAAATCAGGCACAGCGAGAGAGTACCAATACAATCCAGTAATAAAACATTCAGGATTTTTACTTTGAGACACAGTCTCACTACGTAGCCCAGGCTAACCCTGAACTCACAATCTTCCTGCCTCCACCTCCCAAGTGTTGGAATTATAAGTTTGTACCTAGCTGAAGTAAAAGCACTTAGAACAACAAGAAGTAAGAAATAAAGAAAGTTATTTAAAACTTGGTCCAGGTCTTTAATTCCAGCACTCAAGAGGTAGAGACAGGTGGATCTCTGTGTGTTCAAGCTAACCTGGTCTATATGGAGAGTCAAGGTTG